CCAAATTTCAAGTGGCTTTTACAAATCATTTGGTAAGGGCCACAAAGAAATGTTTTCTGTCTCTCCAGAAACATTTCTTGGAGAAGTCAATTGAAATAGGATCATACTAAATGGCATTAATGAAAGAAGAAAGGAGGTGACCTGGAGGGAATAATAGTTACCCACAGATATCCCATGCTGGTTGTAGATTAATCAACTAAAGGAGCTTTTCAAATAATGGTACTTAGGTCCCACCTCCAGAGACTCTGATTTAATGGATGTGCTGTGGGGACAAAACGTTGCTATTTTTTTTTTAAAGTTCCCCAGATGAGACTAACATGAAGCCAGGATTGAGAATCACTGAGCTAAGCTGTTAAAAAACAGGCTAAGAATTACTTCTGAAATGCAACAGACATCTCACAACTATTCAAAGTGAGTCAGATTATGTGTGGAGTACCTACTATGTGCTAGAAGCTTAGCACTGGTGACACAGACAAGAAAAGGCAAGCCCGTCCCAACCTTCATGGAACTCAAAGGGGGAAAGGCAACTGACAAAGAATTAAACAACTTTTTAAAAAACAAGATAGTGTTGGGCACCTGGGTGGCTCAGTCGGTTAAGCGACTGCCTTCGGCTCAGGTCATGATCCTGGAGTCCCGGGATTGAGTCCCACATCGGGCTCCCTGTTCACCAGGGAGTCTGCTTCTCCCTCTGACCTCTCCCCTCTCATGCTCTCTCTCTGTCTCATTCTCTCTCTCTCAAATAAATAAATAAAATCTTAAAAAAAAAATAAAAAAATAAAATAAAAAACAAGATAGTGTGATAAGTGCTACAAAATAAAAGAAAGTGCGATAAGATAGAGCATATCTGGGTACGAGCTATTTTTGTTATATTGATTAAGAAAAGCCTCTCTGAAGAGTGGAATTTCAGCGGAAACCCTGAAAGATGAGAACGAACCGACCATTCAGAAAGTCTAGAGAGTGAATGGCAAGACAAAAGCCCTGAGATACAAAGTGGCTTGGTGTGTTCTAAATACAGAGGAGGCAAGTATGACTGCACGTAGAGAAAGTGAAAGAAGATGTGGTATAAGATGAAGGAAGAAATTTGGATTTTATTCTAAAACTAATAGGAAACCATTGAAGGATTTTAAGCAGAGGAGAGATACGATTTCACTACATTACTGAAAGACCACTCTGCTATGGGGAGAATGGATTGTGAGGTTAGAAAAAGGGGAATTGAAGCAGGAAGACCAGTGCCAGCAAGAGATGATGGTGGCCTGCACCAAGGTATTTGCAAGGGGAAAGGTAGGATATGCTGGAATTAAGACGTGTTATAAAGATTGAGCCAACAGGATTTGCTGACGGACTGGATGTGGAACAAAAGGGAAAAGCAGGGATCTAGTCAGACTTTCAGTTTTGTGGATTGAATATCTGAATCTTTTGAGGTCCTGAAATGATTGTTGGAGGAACAGGTCTAGAAGCAAGGAATCAGAAGTTCTATTTGGGATTACTGCATTTGAAATGCCTGGAAGATCTCCAGTTAATGGAAGATCTCCATTGGGCAGGCAAACGAACATGCAAATTTGAAGTTCTCAGGGGAGGTTTTCAGCTCAAAAGACACATTTGGGAGGCATCAGTATGACTGGTATCATATGTAGAATTTATGAGTAGATAGGAGTTAAGTAAATATGCCTGAGACACATGGTGTCTTGAAGGAAAAGCATCAAGGCCTCTTCTCCTTGGAGATTTGACATTATTTTAGATCTTGTGGATTGAGATGTTCTTGATTGAGGTCCAATGGTAAGAAGGGTCCCATCACAGAAGGAACAGTCTGGATTGATAACCCCAGGCTCAATACTAGAACAAAAGTGTTTGTAGAGTAAGGGCCAGTTCCAACACAGCACATGGCTCATACTAAAGTATTTGCACACAAATATTTGCACACAAATATTCAACCTGACTCTTATTGCTGAAGGTACGTTTGGGACAATGGCTGAGCAGATGAATGTAAACCAAAGAGCTGTCAAGGGTGGAAGTCCCACGTAATTGCTATTAGTCCAGCAAGAGCTAGAGAGTGTGCAGTCCTCCTCCCACATAGAGGATGAGTGTGGCCTGTGCAGGGTTCTGTCCTAGCAATGGTGCCATTTCCACTTCAGAGAAGCAAGCTGCATCCAACTGTACAGGGTCTGTTCTCAACCACAGATAAGGCTGCAACGAAAGCAATGACCGCTGGAAATTGGAACCTTTCAACTCCCGAGGAGATTTGCCAGTCCTTCCCTTATCTGGCTGCTGGACTCCAAATGAATGTCTTAGTCAGCGTTAGACTTTGAGCGACTACAAAGAAAGCCCCTTTTGGACTGGACACGTGCTCATTGACCTGCGGGGGTCTTGAATATTTAATTTGCTTATTATAAGGATAAATGACCTTATTTGTACCTCAAACTAGTGAGGGGCTTCACACTAAATATATAAATACAGAAGTTTATGTTTATCCATTTTAAAACTATTGAGGCAATATGATTTAGTAGGAGATAAGAGTTTAGATCTGAATTTGAAGCACGGATTTATCACCTATGAATTATTTGATCTTGGGAACATCATCTACACTTAAAATGAGAATTAAAGTAAGTTTCATGATGCACGTGGGTGACTCAGTCAGTTAAGCATCTGCCTTCAGTTTAGGTCATGACCCCGGGGTCCTGGGATCGAGCCCTGCGTCTGGCTCCCTGCTCAGCGGGGGTGTCTGCTTCTCCCGCGCCCTCTGCCCCTCCCCCCTGCTCATGTGCTCATGTTCTCTCTCACTCTCTCTCTCAAATAAATAAAATCTTAAAAAAATAAGGTTCATGAAGTAAAATGAGGATCAAGTGAAATAACAAAGGTAAAGCACTAAATAGTACCCGTTTCACAGTAAAAGCTCAATAAGGGTTTATCATTAACCTCTTATTAAGCATTATTATGCTATTTACACTATTTAAAATCACCTCGTTAGATTCACCCCATTGTTTTGAATTCACTTTGAATTCTACTCTGCTCAGCTTCAGGCCAGCTGATAATTTGATAAATTGCATCACTTATGTCCTCATATAAATATTTTTAAAAATTTACAGAATGGAGCTTCTAGGTCACATTAATTTCTTCCTTTCCTGAATCCATATATGCAATCCCACCCAATTATAGTTCTTGACTGTGCTCTACGTATTTCATATGCCTTCATTTTATCTCCTTAACTACACCGCAATTTCTTGAGGATAAGGATTAGATCTCAATCTTTTTAATTGTCCTACCACATCTTGAACAGTATTAGGCATATAGGAACCAAAAATTACATATTTATTTATATAAAGATGGTTTGGGGCAGATTTGCACACAAATATTATTTTCTCCTTTTGGTTTATTGGTCCCTAGAAATGTAATGCACATACACTTACAAAATCCTATCTGTGCACCATAATTTCTCTGTGAATCAGTTTCCTTTGAAAATACTAGACTAGACCAGGCAATCTTTAAAGTCCTCTTCTGGTCTAAAAATCCCTGATATTATTAAATAAAAATGATGGCACACCTCAAAATTTCCAAAGATAATGAATAATCCATTCATTCATTTATTCAACAAATACTTATTGAAGGCATACTGTGTGCCAGACACTCATCTAGGTGCTGGGAAAATAGCAGTGAACAGAACATTGTCTCTAACCTCACAGAGACTTCATTCCAAAGGATTCACTTCATTAAAATCTTCACCAAGGAAAATCTGAAGTCAGAAGGAAGAAATAAACAGGCTATCCATTAGAGTTTTAGCATTTAGAAAGAAATCTTCAACTGTAATATTCTCTTTACGTTCTATTCAAAAAGAAAAAAACCCTGGTTCCTAGCCAGCCAATGTATTTCACATTCAATCATCAAGATATAAAAGTCAGAAATAGAGAAGATACCCTTCATTTACTCCACACATCAACATCTGTTCTTTTTGGTCTTAAAAGTATCTCCCATTACCCACTCCTCCCATCTATTCCTACTGTCCCTGCCTGGTTTAGGCCTTCATTTATTCTAACCTAGATGAGTAAAACAGTCTCACACTGGCCCCCCACCACTGAATAAAGCAAGTCATTGCTTGACAAAGGATAGCTCTCATCGTAGCAGTCTGCTGTTCCAGAAGCCTTGAGGGATCCTTCCATTGCCTTTATAACAAAAATGAAATTCTCTGACCTGGAAGGTCAGGTCTTTTGCTATTTGGCTTAAAACTGCCTTTTAAAATTATTTCCCTCTTCTTTCGCTTACATACCCTATGCTCCAACCAAAATAAACCACATATTTTCCATCCCTTTCTTCCACCCCACACACCTCCTATTTCTGACCTCTGGGTTTTCTGTTCCTTCCATCTGGAATTTCTGCCCTTCCCCAGTAGATGCATGGCCACACCTAACTATCAGTAGCTTAAAGAGATAGTTATTTTCTCACCTAAGAAGCCCAGACTTAGGGAATCCACACTGCTCAACATCATCAAGAGCCTGGCTCCTTCTAAATTCCTGCACTGTTGAACTAGCAAGTGTTTTTCATCTTCATGAAAACAAGAGTTGTTAAAACTTCTGGAATTACATTGCCATGCCTCACTGGACAAAGAGGAGCAGAGGAAAAGGAAGCACCTACATCATGAAAGCTAAAACTTTCCCAAAATTCCCTGGAAGATTTTCATTGGCTAGACTGGACCACCTGGCCATGCCTAGGTGAAAAAAAGGTGGAAGTTAAGTTTTTTAACTGAGCATATCAACACTCCAAACAAATAAAGAGTTCTCTTAATAAGGAATATGGCGACAGTGGATCACAAGACACCCTTAGCAAGATAGCCTGAAGTATCCTCCATAGTTGGCACCCAACAGTATCAAGCATACACAGTCAAATAGGTTTTACTGACAATGCTTGGAACTCACACTGTTAGTATGGTTTTGCTTCCACCTTTTCAATTCTAAATAAACAACAAAACCAGGGGCCATCCTGACTTACAAAGGCACAGCTTACATGTGATCCTGGCCAGGACCTTGCTTTCCTGCTTCTCCATTCCTTCTACTCCTCCCACTTCACCAGATGGGAAAAATGCCCCTTTAGTGCGGTGTTAATGACGCCTGGGAGGGAAGCAGAAGGAGATGTGAAAGAAGACCGGAGGGCTAGGATGGGGCATGACTATGGATGCCATACTTATAAACTATGGACTCTGGTTCTGTTGTGTTACATCATTACATTTTTATCAAACATTCAGAATTAGAAAAATATGAAATTCTTCTATTTTATTTTAATTTTTTGAAGATTTATTTATTTATTTGAGAGAGAGTGTGCGTGTGCCCACGTGGGGGTGGGGGGGGTTGGGCAGAGGGGAGAGAATCCCAAGCAGATGCCCGCAGAACAAGGAGCCTGTCACAGGGCTCGATCTCACAACTCTGAGACCACAATCTGAGCCAAAACCAAGAGTCTGATGCTTAACCGAACTGAGCCACCCAGGTGCCCCTAAATTCTTCTATTTTATACCAAATTCTAGCGTCACTCCTAACAGATACTGAGTGTATCTGTTCTCTTCCTTGTCCTATATTTGAGAAGCTAGGTACCTACTGTTGAGATGGAACTCAAGAATGATTTCAATTTGTATAAACTATATTTTTATTGTAGTATAATATATATAACATTTATCATCTTAACCATTTTTCTATGTACACTTTAGTAGCATTTAAGCACATTCACAATGTGTTGCAGAATTATGCTTTCCCAGAACTTTCTCATCATCCCAAACAGAAACTCTGTACCCTCTAAACAATAACTCTTCCCTCTCCTCTCAAACTGTCTTTATACTTTTCTCTCCATGCATTTGCCCATTCTAGGTGCCTCACATAAGTGGAATCATACAATATTTGTCCTTTTGTGTCTGATTTATCTTATTTAGCATAATGTTTTCAAAGGTCATTCATGTAGTAGCATGTATCAGAATGTCAATGCTTTTTAATGCTGAACAACATTCCATTGTATGTATACACTACATTTTGTCTCTCCATCACAATTGTTGATGGCAATTCGGGCTATTTCTACCTTATGGCTATTGTGAATAATGTTGCTATAAACATTGATGTAAAAATAGATGTTTCAGTCTCTGCTTTTAATTATTTTGGGAGAAACTATATCTTAAACAATGTTGAAGTTGTGGTTAAAATAAATCAAGTACATTATGTATCTACGAAACTTCTATGGGGCAATCTCAAAAACTACCAATCATTTGTAACATATTTCTGGACAAAAATAAATTCTAAGTTTTAGATAACTAACAGAAAGAAATCCGTCGTAACTAACATATCATAAGCTGGCAACATGGTATCTCCTATCTAAGAATTTTAAATTTATCTACAAACCTAAATATAGCTCATTTACATATTTTAGTTCTTTGACTCTCCAGAACAAGAAGAATGAGGCAACAGACATGATTCTGGGCTAAGCAGTGTCATGGGGAACTGAGTCCCTGTTAACTAGTCCTCTGTTAACAAAAATGAAATGAAGATGGGGGCAAGAGTTGAGGCCTATGTTTCTCATGATTCCTTCCACCTGCTGTCTCCCTGGAAACAGATGCTATAGATTCTTATAATCAAAGATTCCCAGAGCAGTATACAAATATAAATAACGTGGATGCTATGCTCAGGGTGAGCCAAGAAATTTGAGGAGCTTGAAGGCTATGAACATTTTAATTTTGGGAGGCTTTACTCTAAATCACATCAAACATATAAAAGGCATCCATGTCCCATATTAAATATGTTTGATATAGCTAGAAAACAGTTGGGATGAAGCTGAGTGGTTGGTATTACTTTTGTAGACAATTAAACATCTATTGATTCTTATTTTCCCATTTTATTTTTGTATTTTGAAGCCAATAAATTATTTTTCAGATCTCAAATATTTTCACTGGCCCTTAAAAATGCGTAGGCCATAACCATATAGATAACTTGCTTTGTAGTGAGTCCTGATCTCAAAATAATTCTCATTTGCACACTTACTTCTGACAATACAGCTCTGACCATAACTAATTTTTGGACACTAATGCAGTGGCCAGAAGAACAAGCAGACAGAAAAAAAAATACTGTCTATAATTTCTGGGTATGAAATAAAACCATGTTGATAATCAGAAGTTTCTAGAATTGAGAGTCACAACCTTTCTGAAATAAGCTACAAAATTCCTGACTCCAATCAGCTTCTTGAAAAAGGAAAATGCTGTACTAAAAAGCAAGCACTGAAACAAATAACCTCTCCGTACTCCCACATGCCCACAAGTAAAGACTCTGTGATTAACAAACTCTTCTGTTAAAATTCAAAGCTAACTCCTCTCTTAAATTTCTTAAGCATCCATTGTGAATTACTTTAATAGCATAATAAAATTACTTTCTACCTAATACAGAATGTGGCTTCCAGTTGGATATTCCCTTGAATGCTGGAGATGTATTTATTCTGTGATTAGCCTTCCATGACTCCAAGCCTTGGCATGTCCAGTTCCTACCTTCCTGGAAGATTGTTCTACCACTTTTTAAACTAATAAATGCCTACCCAGCCTCCAAAGCCCAGTTTAAATATTAGTGTCTCCACAGCCCTGTGCTTGCTCCCAGAGGCTTCCAGAGTCATGCCCTTTTCTACGTTCCCACAGGACTTACCACATTTTATTTATTTGTTAACATGTTGGCTGCCTGCCACTAGACTTTCAACTTCGGCAGAGCAGAGCCCAAACATCTAGCATGGTTAATTTTATAAAGCAAGTGATTATTTTTGTCTACTATGCATGCGTTATGCTTTGCTAAGAGTGGCAATTATTCTATTAATTCTACCCAGAAAATGAAGACCAAAAAACTGTTTGACCATCTGTTCTCTCTCTTTGTGATGAAACAACATATTTGAGTATGATTTCGGCTAACTTTCTCATTCTATCATAACAGCTAATTGTTGGTCTTTCCACTTGTCTTAAAGTTTCCATCACCTTGTGGAGATCATTATGATCAGACAATGGTTCAACTGTATCATAAAAAGCTGCTAACATAGCCAAAAGTTTTTCCGCTTTTAGATTTCTGGGACGGTGTTTTGGGAGAAGATGTAGTTAGGTGAGTGTAGCTATGTGAGAGCAAGTGTAAGTGGGGGAGAGGCTGATAGAGTGTTATTAGTCTTCTGAGGAAGCTGGTTTATGATGTTCAAAGATCACTCGTTGTGCTGTTGATTTCTGAGGGAATAATCAACGTTAACTTTCTATTATTATGGCCCTTCAGCTATAAAAATTAAGTAAATTTCATGCAAAGAATTTCCCTATTTAGATAGGAGAAAACTATTCATTGATGAAGATGAGAAAGAGTTTCTAGTTTACTACTTCCGGTAAATCCCTGAATCACAGGTAATTACTCCCATCAGGTTCAACTACTATAATTATATTTGCGCCCTCTGCTGTACATGCCTGAAATTACATAAAACTATGTGCTAGTTCAAGATTTGTCTACACGTTCTTAGCGCTGGCATTTTCCAAAAGCAGGTCTTCAAGAGCATACTTACTTCATTTCAGCTAGGAGACTAACATGACGGTGAAATTTTCCCTCCTGTAATTATTGGCTAATCCAAACAGAATAATAAATAGTGCGTCAGACATAGTCATTATAGGTTTATTATGCTAGGGAAAATATTAATTAAAAGTTTGTAAAATGATTGAAATTATTTTATGATATGTCAATTATTCAAAAGCCAGCATTTCTTCTGTAATCACTGTACACTGATCATTGTCTCCTTCACTTTGCTTTTGTGTGTCTTCCTGTGTTTATTTAAATCAGAGTCAATTCTGAGACCCATAAACTTTTTGCTGGCTTATGGCATTCAATAATTGTTTTATATGACATTTGTTTTGTGTCATTTGATTTGTTTCTATGCCCTAAATTAAAAATTTCTGCTTCTGTCTGAATCTTATTAACTGAAAATAATATTAGTAGGCTGAGGCCATAGCTGTAAGTGGTCCTCTGTCAACCACTTATCTTTTTGTTTATCTTTTATTCCAGGTTATGAAATTTTAAGCATCACACGCACCTTTATATACTCATTCCACATCTTGAGAGCACCACACTCCATTCAGATTTACATGCTATATCTTAATTTTGTAAATTTTCTCTCTATGAATGAAGAAATATTTAAAATTGCATAGTTCAAAGTGGAAACAAGGGTTTGTTTACACATGCTGATTTGGGTAATAATCTGTGAGTCTGGGAAATGAGTATTTTGAATTTATTTCTTTCTACCTTACAGTGAATTTTTCTCCCTCTTAATTCAGGTATTTAGTTCATATTTGTAAGTTTGGTGCAGGTTTAGATGATGTGTAAATCTGTGTTATTAGCCAAATATTTTTCTGTATTTTAAGAACTATCTTATGTTTAAGATATATGAATATATCTTAGGAAGTAATTTTTAATACATTAATTTTCGAAGAAAAAGTATGACAAATATTTTTCAAAACTAGAAAAACACATTTAAAATCACACTAAATTAAAATGAATAAATAGAACAACAGGACGATGAATGGTTTCAAATATTATTGGACTTTAAATTAATTTCCAAATTTCAGGGAAAATTAAATTAATCTTCAAGTGTAGCTCAATGGACAATGACAATCAAAAAGAAAAGGGGGCTAAGGTGAAAATAAGGAAAATAGTGTTGGAAAATGTTTTATAATAGTATGTTCTATTATCCAGCTAAATGTTTTCCCTCTAAATATAATATTCTGTTTTGGCTGCTTCAACCTAGATAAATATAACTAACTGGAAGGGAAAAGCATCACAAATGCTGATAAATAATTTCTAGGTTTACTGCTTTTTATTTCAACACATTGAATTCAGTTTGACAGTAAGATACTTTCTATATTTAAACTAGGAAACATGCATTTGGATATCAGCATATTATAATAAAGGAGTATTTAGGGGCGCCTGGGTGGCTCAGATGGTTAAGCGTCTGCCTTCGGCTCAGGTCATGATCCCAGGGTCCTGGGATCGAGTCCCGCATCAGGCTCCCTACTCCTTGGGAGCCTGCTTCTCCCTCTGCTTCTCTCTCTCTCTCTCTCTCTCTCTATCCCTCTGTCTCTCATGAATGAATAAATAACATCTTTAAAAAAAATATATATATATATATAATAAAGGAGTATTTGTATTTGGGGAGTTTAAAAAATAAGTTAAGATAGTTTGTTTTCACCAGGGAAGGGGGAATACCCTAAGAAAATGCCATGTGTGACCTGATTACTTCCAACAGTGGTTTCACATAATAGCCAGGCGGCTTTTCCTACACCTACTCATACTCTGAGTTCACCTAGGATGAAAGTTTGTCCCTCGAAGTCTGAAAATTGATTCCAATCTCACAGGGAGACACTTCAGATGGCTGCTATTCCAATTCTTAACTTTGTTTTGAAGAACAATGCTTTTTGAGACAGAAACAGTGTATATGTTGCTGAAAACCAACGAATGCTAAGAAATTTGAAATGTTAAACCCCATTGACAAAGTAAGCATATTTTTTCAAACAAAGACAAAAACTTATCCCTCTATGCTTTCCTCGGAATGATGTGCTTTCATAGTCAATGCATGTGGAATAACTGGAGCAGGAATAACATGAATAAGATATTCAATTGTTATATAAAATGAGCAAATAAATTATTTTTCCAAAAAGGAAAAAATGATTACATATGTCCTAATTCATTTGTAAAGACAGACACAAGAGACAAAGATATATTAAAACAGAGGGAACTAGCTGTTAAGTCAAACATCCACTCTCACTTTTTCTTTAGAAACAAACTTGGATGTACGTGAATTATGTGTGTGTATGTGTATTAGGGTGTGCAAGTAATACACCCAGCTAACAGATGACAATACACAGCTTTCCTTGAAAGTAGGTGTTGTCATATGACTAAAATCAGTCAATAGGTGGATAATCAGGTTATTTGATAATCTAATAAAATTGGGTTCCTATTCTACAAGGAAACCCTTTTATATTAAAACACATAGGCTAAAATCTAAATGATGGAAAAAGATTTATACCATGCAGTCACGAACCAAAAGAAAACTAGAATAATCATATTAATATGAGAAAAAGTAGAATTCTTTCCCTTCCCCCCAGATTTATTGAAATATAACTGACAAATCAAATGGTATATATTTAAAGTATACAATGTGATAATTTGATATGCATATACATTGTGAATTATTTACCAGCATCAAGCTAATTAATACATCCATCACAGCCCATATGTTACTTTTGGAGTGCATGGTGAGAATGCTTAAGATCTACTCTCTTACAAATTTCAAGTGTACAATACAATGTTATTAATATAGTCATCATACTGTATATTAGAGCCTCATCTTATAACTGAAAGTTCGTACCCTTTGACCAACATTTCATTTCCCCCATCCCTTATACTCTGGCAAGCACCATTCTCTATTTCTATGAGTTCCACATTTTTTTTCTGTTTTTAGATTCCACATATAAGTGATACTATACAATATTTGTCTTTCTCTGCTTGTCTTATTTCACTTAGCAGAGTACCCTCTTGTACATCCATGTTGTTGCAAATGGTGGGATTTTTTTTTCAAATGGTGGGATTTTCTTCTTTTTAATGTCTGAATAATATTCCATTATAATGTGATATATGTATCACATTTTCTTTATCCATTCATCCATCCATGGACACTTAAATTGTTTCTGCATCTTGACTATTGTGAATAATGTTGCAATGAACATGGGAGTGCAGATTATCTCTTCAAGACCATGACTGCATTTCCTTTAGATATATATCCAGAAATAGGATTGTGGGATCATATGTTGATTTTATTTATAAACTTTTGAGTAATGTCCATACTGTTTTCCATAATGTCTGTACCAATTTATAACCCAATTAACAGTACACAAGGGATCCCTTTTCTCCACATCCTCACCAATACTTGTTATCTCTTGTCTTGTTGATGACAGCCATCCTAACAGGAATGAGAGGATATCTCATGGTGGTTTTGATTTGCATTACCCTGATGATTACTAATGTTAAGCTATGGAAAAAATCCAGCTCCTTTGGCAATTTTTAAATTGGATTACTTGGGTTTTGTTTTGTTTTGCTTTTGACTATTGAGTTGTAAGAGTTCTTTATAATTTTTAGTTATTAGCCCCTTATCAGATAGATGGTTTGCAAACAGTTTATCTGATTCAGTAGGTTGCTTTCTCACTTTGTTGTTTCCTTTGCTGTGCAGAGGCTTTTTAGTTTGGTTTAGTCACACTTGCTTATTTTGGCTTTGGCTACCTATGTTTTGGTGTCATATCCAAAAACTTATTGCCAAGACCAATGTCAAGAAAGATTTTTCCTGATTTTTCTTCTGGGGCTTTTACAGTTTCAGGTCCTATATTTAAGTCTTTGGTCTATTTTGAGTTTAATTTTTGTGAGCAGTGTAAGACAGAGGTCCAGTTTCATTCATTTCCATGTGGATATAGTTTTCCCAATACCACTTATTGAAGAGAGTATTCTTCCCCCATTGAGTGTTCCTGGCACTCTTATCGAAGATTAGTTGCCCAGATATGTGTGGGTTTATTTCTGGAATTTCTATTCTATTCCATTGTCTATATGTCTGTTTTTATGCCAGTATATGCTGTTTTGATTACTATAGCTTTGTAATATAGTTTGAAATCTGAAAGCATGACACTTCCTGCTTTGTTCTTCTTGCTCAAGATTGGTTTGGCTATTCAGGATCTTTTGTGTGTCCATACAAATTTTAGAAGTGTTTTTTCTATTTCTGTGAAAAATGCTATTGAATTTTGATAGTGATTACTTTCAATCTATAGATTACTTTGGTAATCTACACACATTTTAACAACATAATTCTTCTACTCTAAGAAAATGCAGTATCTTTCTTTTTTGTGTGCCTTTTTCAATTTCTATCATTAATGTTTTATAGTTTTCGGTGTGCAGGTCTTTTACCTCCTTGGAAATTTATTCCTAAGTATTTTATTGTTTTTGATGATATTGTAAATAGGATTTTCTTACTTCCTCTTTAAGATAGTTCATTGTTAGTGTGTAGAAATACAACTGAATTTTGTATGATAACTTTGTATCCTGAAACTTTACTGAACTGATTTACCAGTTTTTTTATATATAATTTTCTATATATAAGATTACGTAATCTGCAGAGACAATTTTACTTCTTTCTTTCCTATTTGAGCCTTTTATTTCTTTTCTTGCCTAACTGCTCTAGCTAGTAATTCTAACATTGTGTTGAACAGAAATGGTCAAGAGTGGGCATTCTTTTCTTGTTCCTAATCTTAGAGGAAAGTTTTCAACTTTTCATCATTGCGTATGATGTTAGCGGTGGGTTTTTCATATATGGTCTTTATTATGTTGAAATACATTCCTTCCATGCTTAATTTGTTGAGAGTTTTTAATGAAAGGATGTTGAATACTACCCGATGCTTTTTCTGCATCTATTTAAATGATCATGTGATTTCTATCCTTCATTCCATTAATGTGGTGTATCAATACATGCATTATTGAAACATCCTTGCATCCCAGAGATACAACCTGCCTCATGATGTATGATCCTTTTAATGTACAATTTAATTCAGTTTGTTAGGATTTTATTAAGAACTTTTTAAATCTATGTTTATCAGAGATATTGATCTATAGTTTTTTTATAGTGTCCTTGTCTACTAATGCTGGCCCGGTAAAATGAGCTTAGAAGCGTTTCTTCCTCTTCATTGTTTTAGAATAGTTTGAGAAGGTTGGGCATCAATTCTTCTTTAAATGTTTGGAAGAATTCACCAGTGAAGCCATCTGCATCTGCGGTTTTCTTCACTGGGGGTCTTTTGATTACTGATTCAAAATCCTTACCAGTTATAGGTCTATTCAGATTTTCTATTTCTTCCTGATTCAGTCTTGGTAGGTTGTATGTTTCTAGGAATCTAATCATTTCTTCTAAGTTATCCAGTTTGTTGGCATATAATTATTCATAGTAGTCTCTTATGATACTATGTATTTCTGTGGTATTATTGTATGCTGACTGGATAACTACAAATGACTTGTCTTGGAGTTCATGGATTCTTTCTTCTGCTGATCTTGCCTGTTGTTGAAGCTCTCTATTATAGTCTTCATTCTTTGTATTCTTCAGCTTCAGAATCTGTTTTTTTCTCTCTCTTGAAACTCTTATTTTGTTTGTATATTGTTTTCTTGATTTTATTGAGTTGTCTGTGTTCTTTTGTAGCTCACTGAACTTCCTTAATATAATTATCTTAAATTATTTGTCAGGCCATTTGTAGATTTCCATTTCTTTTTGGTCATTTGCTGGAAAACTATTGTGTTCCTTTTGTGGAGTCATATTTCTTTAATTTTTTGTGTTCTTTGAAGTTTCCACTGATGTTTTTACGTTTGAAGAAGCATGACCTCCTCCAGTCTTCCTGACTGCTTTGGGAGAGATATACCTTCACCTGTCAATCTGTTTAGAGATTCTGAGGCTTTCTCACAACTTTTCTATGGATGTGAGTAACTCACATTTCCTGTTCCTTCTTGAGGGAATTCTTAAAACTGTATGCCTTCTCTCAATCTTGCAAAGCCAGGCTGGATGCTTTGAAATTCCTGTTTGTTTTCTCTAGAGCAGTGCCCTGAAATGTCAAGTTTGTGAACATTTTCCTAATCCCATGGTCTGGCTCACTTTCTTCACTTGTTTGCTGATTGCCTCTAAAGGCTCACTCTTGCCATCCATGGAAGCCCATGCTGGGAGCTAGATACAGAGGGAGGGGAAGGGGAGAGTAAGGGGTATGAGTGAGGCACACAGAGCAATAAAGTCTCCTGTGGACCAGCTGGGGGGTCCACAGACAAGGAGTCCACCAGTGGGTAGTGGGCAAGTCTCTTGGTGGATATAATGAATCAGTTAGTAGGAAGAACTGTGAAACAGTTAGTAGTGTCCCTTTGATGACCTATGAGCTCTGGCTACTGTCTCCCAGCCTCTCCCAGCCCAGTAGATTTTGTAGATTATCCCCGTAAAGAAGGAGGAAGAAAGAAGTGGGCCTCTTGGCTGTGTCCTGCATAGCTGGAGAAGCCTAGCTCTCGCTTTCTTTTGTGGAAAAAATCATGGGCTGTGGAGGTCTTTCCTGGCACTGAGCCATGCTGCTTTGGGGGAGAAGGGATATGGGCAAAATGGAACTGTTTCTTTTATCCTCTTCAGTGCATCTACTCTGGAATTTTTTTGCCTCAAGAGTGTGCTGGAACTTCTCCACTGGACTCCCAGACTCTCAGAAAGGCACTTTCATCCCTAGGTAATTGCCAGAATTGATGCTCTGTGGTAGGGTTATAGTAGAGTACTCCTATTCCACCATCTTGCTGATGTCACTCCAGAAAAATACAATTCTGAAGAAGAAAAATTTCCAGGGATAAAAAGGGACATTCCCATGATAAAGGGGCTAATGCACCAAGAATACATAGCTATCCTAAATGTAAATGCACCTAACAAAAGATCTTCAAAATACATAAAGCAAAAAGTGGTAGAACTGAAAGTAGAAATAGAAAAACTCACCATGAAAGTTGGAGATTTTAACATCCTCTCTTTGTAATCTATGGAATGATTAGACAGAAACCAGTAAGGACATATAATACCTAAAACCACCATCAACCAAATTGACTTAATTGTAATTTTTAGATCTCTTGACCCAATAACAGCTGAATAAACATTCTTTTAAAGTGCACATGTGGGGGTGCAGAGCAACGTGGCGGAGGGGTAGGAGACCTGGATTTCGTCTGGTCTCAGGAATTCAGCTGAATAGGGATCAAACCATTCTGAACACCTACAGACTCAACAGGAGATCGAAGAAAAGAATAGCAACAACTCTCTGAACAGAAAAGTGAACACTTTCTGGAAGGTAGGACGTGCGGAAAAGTGAATCCGAGGCGATATTTGGGAGGATAGGCGGTGGGGGAGGGGGCCTCTGTTGGACACTTCTGACAAGTGATAGAGCCGCGGAGCACAAAATCGGAACTTTTAGAAGTTGGCTCCGCTGAGGGACGTCACTTCAGTGGCTAAGCAGGGGGTGGAACCCTCGTGGGACAGTGTGGTCTCAGGACCCTCGGGGTCACAGAAAGACCGGGGGTGCCTGAGTGCGGCAGAGCTCCCGAGTATCAGAGTGGAGAAGCCGGCTGCAGAGACGGAGCCAAGGCGTGGGCTCTCAGCTCGGGGTTGACATAAACTGTGATCAGTGAGAGTTGGGCCATGGCTCCTCCAGCATGGACCCAACAAGCAGCAGAACCAGGGAGACTCCCCTTCCTCCCCCAGGAGGAGCGGCATGGGAGCTCACCACAGGGATCTGCTGGGATTGGAGACTCCACACGGGGTTGGGTGCCAGAGATAGAAACGCTCGGTCACAGGCCGGGGGAGCACGGAGTGTGGCCGGAGACCAGGGAGACGGGAGTCACTGACTGCTTTTCTCTGGGGGCGCACTGAGGAGCGGGGCCCCGAGTTCTCGACTCCTCTGGATGGAGATTGGGAGGCCGCCAGTTTCACTCTCATCTTCCAAAGCTGTACCGAGAGCTTGCAAGGAACAAAAGCTCCGGAGAGCAAACCCGAGCAGATTGCTTAGCCCAGACAGGCAAGGGCAGGGCAGTTCCACCTCCGACAAAGACATTTGGGAACCACGGCAACAGGCCCCTCCCCCAGAAGATCAGCAAGAACAGCCAGCCAAGACCAAGTTTACCCATCAATGAGAACGGGAGAACTCCAGCGCTAGGGGAATACTGCACATAGAATTCATGGCTTTTTTACCATGATTCATTAGTCTTTCAAAGTTAATTTTTTTAACTGTTTTTTTTTAATATTTCTTTTTCCCTTTTTCAACCAACATCTTATCAATCCCTTTTTAAAATTTTTTTTTTATTTTTCATTTTTAGAGTCATATTCTATCCCTTC